AAAGGTGCTTCCATGAGTGAAATTTTGCGAAAAAGGGGAATAGGTCGTAATTGACAGGGTTTTCATTTGAGGCCGGAGGCCGGACGGTTCGTCTGGTCGTTTGACATTCCACGTCCGGTACTTTGAGATCAATATTGGCGATTTTTTTTTTTTACTACTGTATTATATATTTTTCTTACTAAGGCATCTCATGAACATACTGACTAGAGGATAACAGAATAATCAATTACATTCTTCAAAACGGCCATATAACTCTTTTTTCTTTGCTTATTGAACGGCGGGATATTTTATTGGTTTCCCCTCTTCATTTAACGGGATTGAAGTGACTATATCGTTCTCATTCCTGCTCGGCCAAGTCTTGAGGGAAATCCCCAGGAACAATCGAACAGTTGCAATCCGTTGGGTTAGAGGTACAAACCATGCGCAGCTTTGTCTCTGACGGTACGTCTGTTATGACTGGGGCCAGAAACGGGGTGGCAAAGCTTCTAAAAGATGAGAACCCATTGATCCTGTCTTTTTACTGCTTAGCACACAAACTTGCTCTTGCTTGTGCTAGCTCTGCAGATACCCTTGACTACATTGCCCACTGTTAACTACAGTTACACCAGTTGTGGAAGTTATTCGAGAATTCTGCAAAGTGCACTGCAACGTATTAAAGAGCAAGAGAGCACAAAGAATCTTACTCTAAATTCGGCGGGGAGGAAGCAGGTAGCGAAAAAGCTGAAGAAGGCTTGTCGTACACGCTGGTTGTCGTTAGATAAATCGGTAGAGGCGGTATGTACGGATTTCTGCGCAATAATCGAAACGCTGGAGCAGCTTAAAACTGAACCAAGGGGATCAATAGCGGATGGTCTCCTAAAAAGAATGAAAAAGGTGAAATTCATCGGCACCATTTACATCCTCCACGATGTCTTGCCAGTATTATCACAATTAAGCAAACGTTTTCAACGAGGAAACGTAAACTTCTCACACCTGCTTCCTGCAATCAAGGCCACACACGCAAAACTGAACAGGCTTAAAGAGGACAAGGAATGTTTGAAAAAGCTGCAGAACGACCTCGCTCAGAATGGAAGGCTTCACCGTTGTGGTTTAACGCTTTCAGACAACAAGATGCGAGAGCTGTGTTCTCTCATGAACCGCTACACTGTGGCCCTGCATGACAATATCAACAATCGCTTTGAACCCACTTTACCCCAAGTTAGCGCCTTTTCCATCTTCGATATCGCTGATCTTCCAAATGAAAGTGACCCGGGATTTGAAGACTATGGCCAGGCAGAGATAAAAATCATCAGTAACCACTTCTATGGAACAAAAGAAGAAGAGGAAAAGAAAATGAAGTCTGCAAAATTACTCGCACAATGGGAGAATTTCAAGTTTGAAATGGTTGCTTGGAAGAAACAAGTGCCGCAAACTCTGTTGCAGCCGAATGACAGAAGCCCTGAAGATACCAACATTCTCACCACAACAGAATGGACCTTACAAAGGTTGCTTGCGCGGCGCAAGACCTACCTGAGAGAGGTGGAAGTGCTATTAAGCGCATCAAAACAAGAATGAGAAGTCGACTCACTGATGACATGCTAAATGCACTT